TGCCCCCCCCCCCTCCCTTCATGTTAACTCCCCTTAAAAGAAACCAACAAGAAACCAAAAAAAACAAAAAAACAAGCAAAAGACCCATAAAAGAACTACCCAAACAAACAACAAATAAACATTTATCTTCCCAGTGGCACTTCCTGTTCTTGAAGGTCGAATGGTGTCGCCAAACACCCCCGTCTTGCATTTTTACTTCGACACAGTGTGGCCGTCTTATAACCAAGAGGCTGCAAGCCATTAAGATGGCGGTACCAGACAGCAACATTTACCTCGACAAAGTGTGACATTTATACAACTCAATGCTGTCTGTCCAATTAGATCTTGCTTAAACCTCTTGCTGACCAATCTGAGAAGATGGGGGTGGTAAGAAGAAAGGAACGATCAAAACAATAAGGAAGAATCAAATGTTAAACGATTCACCGTCCATTGAAACTTGTAAAGCGCTTTGTTATCGAAATGTCGACAGTTTTATATAAAAGCTTGAGCGCCTAGGTTCAAGTCGTCGTTAGCTGGCCAAGGTGTGGTGGTTCTAGTGCTGAAGTTGTAGCTTGACTCTGCGTGGATAGCTGCCTGTTCGAAACTTTTTCAATTTGCTTGTGGACTTCAAAGATCTGATCCGAAATGGTAAGTATAGAGTTGTAACTTTGTTTATCGTCTCCCAAAATCGAAAATAGACGACACGTCGTTGCAGTTGATAGTTCCCGATAATTGTGTTAAGCGCTTCCCCCTAGAGGGGTATCCAGAAAGTAATTTTCGTTTTGAAATTAAGAGGTAAAATTATAAATCTTTCCAAGTCTGCCAAACATTATTTTTTCTTCTGCATTATCATGACACAAAAGAATCCTGGAGCTCAGGTCTTACCTTTCGAATTGCATTGCACAATTTTGCCAAGATTTTGCAGAAAGTATCAACATTAAATATGTATTTACTCCTTTGTAAGAAATCAAATACTTTTATAGATACAATTCGATTGTTAAAGCTATACTTTTCTAAAATTTTTTTTTGAAAAGTCAAGTATGAAACAACAACTTTAAAAGATGCAAGGGAGCTCTCGTGGCCTAGAGGTTAAGGGGTTATCCTCTCATTCAACGGTCCCGGTTCGAATCCTTGTAGGGACCGAAACATTTTCTTCTCTAAAATTGTCTCCATTCACCTCCTTTCCTGCTCTCTAGCATTGTTCTGTCGCCTGCTTTTCTC